CAACAAGTGGCGTCTGTCTTTTGCGCAGTGCTTCACCCGCACGATACATTCCGTACTTCCCCTATGCATCCGCTCGCGTTTGCCCACATAATAAATGACCAGCAAGGAGGAGACGACTTCTTCGCACCAAACAATTTAACTCCCAGGAAGTTAACCGTTAAAACCCTCCAAACTAACTGTCCCCAATAACCGCGGCACCCGATTGTTACGCAATGCTCTTACACCCGTACGATATACATACACCGTCCGTGCTTGCCCTCTGCATCGCNGACGGGAGTCTTTTATCAGGAGGAACAATTGAAAAATGAAACTGGCATCCAACAAGTGGCGTCTGTCTTTTGCGCAGTGCTTCACCCGCACGATACATTCCGTACTTCCCCTATGCATCCGCTCGCGTTTGCCCACATAATAAATGGCCAGCAAGGAGGAGACGACTTCTTCGCACCAAACACTTTAACTCCCAAGAAGTTAACCGTTCAAACCGTCCTAACTAACTGTCCCCAAAAAACGCGGCATCCGATTGTTACGCAATGCTTTTACATCCGTACGATATACATACACCGTCCGTGCTTGCCCTCTGCATCGCCCGCGTTTGCCCACCTAAACGACCAAAGGGAGAAAAATAATCTTGGCGCTGATCATTTGAAACTTGCATAAAATTGGAAAGTCTATCGTGCGCGACTTGCTCACGCCAGCAAACGGCTATTTGTCTTGGTTTACGCCTGGAACAATGAAGATGCCTAGAATTCTCACACAACGTGGGTGCATCTTGCACTTACACCGCTACGTACTCCTCGAAAGTGGGTGGCACCACGCCAAAGTATTGCGAAATCTCGTTGCCCCCGTTCATGCATGAGTGCCAGTTAGAAAGCAGAGTGGCTACCCGGTACTGCTTGGCGACAGGGCTTAGCAAGAATTTCTGCTGCGGCTTCATGCTCACAAAGGCCCACTTGCCGGTCATCTCTTTGAATCCCCACTCCACCGTTACGCGGCAGTGGCTCATACGCTTGTTGAAGTCGGCCATCTCTGGCGTTAGAGGGCCGACACTTGACGCGCTAAAAGGACAGACAAGGTGGTTGCTCAGTCCATACGCCGGATCTCCGTACAAACAGTACGGATGGCCTGTAGGGCTGTTGCTGTTTGGCATCGACAACTTCTCCATCAACCCAGACTGCGCTATAGAATAAAGCTGTCATGACGTGTCCCCGCCACGAGGCCCCACAGATCCATAAATAGCCCGTCTGGTGTAATTACCCCTTGGAACTTCATTGCGTGCTTCCTCTTGTGCCCATTGTAGAACAGTCGCTGCCAGTACTTGGGCCTGCGAATCAGTTTTGGGCGTACGGAAGGATGGGCCACCAACAACACAGGTCAAGACATACACCCAACAGTCCCAACAGTCAGTGCTGCTGTATTTCATCGTTCTGCTAAAACTTCATCGAATGTTGCAACCTCGTGGTAAGTCGCAATCAATCATGTGCACGCGCAACCCAGCGACAGTTCCACACAGATGAACATATGGTCTAGTGAGTGCGTCGCAAAACTCGAGGAACGTACAAGATGGCCTGCTGATGCTGCGTTGGATACGCGGCGGGAAAGCAATCCGCGGGGGGAATCACGCAACTACACTACTGTCTGCGGTATGTACCAAAACGCCAGAATCCTTTGAGTCGGACTTCACTTTGCAATGCCACGCACGGTGCCATCGATAAATCCCCAACAGTGAGTGAGAGGGCAGCCGGAGTTGACGACTGCTTCCGCAAACTCGATCAGGTGCGGCTGCAGGCGTGCCACGTCGAGGGACAGCAGATACCCCCACCTGAAGTCTAGAAAATGCAGCATCCAGTTGAAGGCTTCGCAGATACACGATTCGCT